ATCGGAGTCATCGTCGTCCTCCTCCATCTCGTCTTCCTCGTCGTCCTCGGAATCCTGAGTCTCCTCGGCGTCGCCGTCCTCCTCGTCCTCGGAGAGAGTCTCCTCGGCGTCGCCGTCCTCCTCGTCCTCGGAGACCATGTCCTCCTCCTCCTCCTCCTCCTCCTGGTCCCTGTTTCTCCTCATCTCCTAGGTGTCCTCTGCACTTGGTTGCTTCCCTCCCTCTGTTCCTCTGCTCGTTGGGTTCCCAGAATAGTTGGTTTTAAAACTGGGTCAGCAGTGGTCCTTACCGGATGTTTGCACAACGATTCTATAGACTTCTGATCCAAGGGGATACGAGGGGGTTGGAGCCATTGAGGCTGGATGAACCCGAAACTGTGTCCTGAAGGAAGCCTTTAAGCCTTCAACCAGAAACATCCCTTAAGGTCTTCTGAAAGCCAAATGAGGCTTTAGTGTAGTGGTTCTCAACCTGTGGGTTGCAACCCCTTTTGGGGGTCGAACAACCCTTTCACAGGGTCGCCCGATTCATAACAGTAGCAAAATGACAGTGATGAAGTAGCAACAAAAATAATTTATGGCTGGGGTGGGCGGGTCACCACGACAAGAGGAACTGCGTGAAAGGGCCGTGGCATGAGGAAGGTTGAGAACCACTGCTTTGGTGTAACTAGTGACGTCGGTCTTCCTTGAGCATTACGCTCTTTCAGATTCCTGAAGGGGATCAACTTGGCCAGAGCAGCTCCTAGGTTAGACGGCAAGCTTAGGGGTGGTGAGAAACTCCCAAAAGGAGGGGGAGAACGGTCGGCTACTTGAAGGGTGTCCTCAAGGTTGCTCTCCGAGACCTGGCAATGTCACTGTAGCTGGAGAGACGGCTGCGTTGGCGTGGGCGCTGCCGGGTGTAGTTCCGGCAGCAGCCAACATGGTGACCGTGTAACAAGTTAATAAAATCGCGTGAGTGTATTCGATTAGAGTGAGAACCACCACTACAACACACGGCTCACCACGGAGAGCATTGCCCTCCTGCCATCCTATAATGTGGACACACCTTGAAAACCCTCCAGTGTGCAAGAGCCCCAGAGGGACGGATGCACCGCCCCACCTGTACGAAAGATGTAGGCCAGGCAAGGGTGTGGAGGCCAGCGTGGATGAAGGTTGGGGGAGCAGGACGGGAAAGAGGGGGGCTCGTTGCTTAGAGGGCACTGAGCTCCGCGGAAGCTGTTGTTGTTCTGACTCCCAGCAACCCTGTGTACGACCGAATGAAAGACTGGCCAATCCGTGCTCTCCTCACAGATGCCTGCTCTGTGGGAGCCCACTGTCACAGCCGCTGGGTCCATCCATCTCAACGAGCGTCTTCCTTTTTTGTGTTCACTGCCTCTCCGCTGCCCCAAGCAGGATGCCCTTGTCTAGGATCGAGTCCCTCCTGAGAACGTGTCCAGAGCACATGAGATGACGTCTTACCATGCTTGCTTCTGGGGTGGTCGTCTGGGCAAAAAGACCTGACAATCTGTTGCCGTGAGGCCAGTCTATGGGGCAGCGACGCGGTGTCCTCCTCTAGGGCCATGAGGGGTCCGAATGAACTCCATGACCACACAACACCGGCATCTTACCGGTGGGAGGCAAAGCCATCGGGTTGTTGGAGCAGAGCGAGGGAGACAAAGGAAAGCAGAGGGTCAAGAAACAGCCACCACCAAGTCAGCAGTTCGAAACCGCTGGCAGCTCTGAGAAAGAGAGACGAGGCTTGTTACTCTAAACCCAGGGGAGCAGTTTCTCCCCTGTCCTGTAGGCTTGCCATGAGCCAGGATAGACCGGATGGCCGTGATTTTGGTTTGGTGAAGGGGGACTGAAGAGAGCAAAGCCAGGGAGAGAAGGAGTGGGGTGGCGGGGTGGGCACCACCAGAGCCCGAGGAAGGGGGAGTTTCCGCAGTGGGAAAACTCACCCTGACTGTCTCACCGCGGGAGGACTGCCAAGACGCAGCGAGCCCGTTGGGTTTGGAAACGAGGCAGCAGTTGGTGACCTAGTTTTGAATGAGCAAATTTTGTCAACCGTGGGGGTGGAAGTCACGTATTAGTAGGTTGAGAAGTGAATGAAAAATGAGGAAATAGAAGCCAAGAGATAGATGCTGTTTCTAAAAATGTCCTGGAGTCGTGGGTGCTAGTTTGAGGGGGAAACAGACTGGGTCTGTGTTTGTTTCCCACTGAATGTGGCGGGAGCCATAGGAGCTCATTTGGAAGCTCATTTGGAAGAGGAGAGAGTGGCCTACAGAGAGAAATTGATGGAGGGTGTGATGGGAACATGTAGAGCAAGGTCCCCGGGAGGGTTGTAGACAATGCATTAAAATCACATACAGTGGGTAAGGCATGCAGTACTTATGCTAAGACAAAGGAGGAGGAACAGATAAAAAATGAGTGGGTGGAGTACTGGACCTATGTTAAGAAGGAGAACAACACGTTGACATTGCCTGTTGTTTTAAGGTCTCTAGCACGGAACCACCACAAGGGGGTGGCTTTATTAAACAGAAATTTATTCTCTCACAGTTGAGTAGGCTAGAATTTAAAGTCCTGATTCAGGAGACCACACTCTCTCTCTCTCTTCCCATCAGAGGGACCCTGGGTCTGAAGAGGTGCTCTTCCCCTGCCTGTTTTTTCTGGGTGGTACAAAGTCCCAGTGTGCTCTGAGAGGGGAAAGATGAGGCTTTTAACTCTCTTAAAGCGTTACAGCCTTGGAAAACCCACAGGGCCAGTTCAACCCTGTCCTGGAGGGTTGCCGTGAGCCAGAAGCAACAACATGGCAGTGGGTTGGGTTTGGTGTTAGAAGACAAAACCAGTGTCAAGCCCATGCTCGCGACAGAGCGAAGCGCCCCCTGGTGGGCTTCCTAGACTGTCAACCTTTACAGGAGCAGACAGCCTCATTTTCCTCCCTCAGAGTAAGGATGAGGTTGGAGTCCTAGCCGCTGCACCTGGGAGGGTGACCTTTGTTAGGAATGGAATCTGCGAAGGTGCTCTCAGCTCACAGGAGGTCACGCTGCAACAAGACAAAACCCACGACACAAACTCACTGCCGTCAAACCTATGGGATGCCAACTTCTCGTGACCCTACAGGGCAGGCTAGCACTGTCCTCATGGGTTTCAGAGACTGTAACGCTTTAGGGGAGTAGAGAGCCCTGTGTTTCTCCAGAACAGCAGCTGCTGGCTTTGAACTGCTGACCTTGTGGATCTCAGTCCAACTTGCAACCCCTGGACCACCAGGGCTCCTTGACTGCAGCAAGGGGGATTCTCACTCAACTCGAACGGCATCTTTAGAAAAGAGAAGCGATACAGCGCCAAGCATGGTGAGGAGGAGTCATGTGATGACCAGGGAGGCTGCTGTAAGCCAAGGAAGGCCAGGAAGACCAGGAAGACCGGCAGACATAAGGAAGTATTTCCCCCCAGGAAACGTCTGCCACAACAGAGCCCTGCCCGCACTCCTAATCAGACATCTGCTCTCCAGAGCTGGGTGACAATACATTTCTGAAGCCATAACCCCCACCCCACGGCTCTTTGTTACAGGCACATTGGGGAACTAATCCTTCCTCCAAGTGCCACCTGGTTATTTTTCAACCGTTTCCTTGTGAATTAGGTGAAGGTGTACAGAGCAGAGCATCAGTTTTGCATTCTAGGGCTCAGCCCATCCGTGGCAATCCCTGAGCCCACTCATTTTGAGCCGACTCCCTGAGCCCACTTCTCCCTGAGCCCTCTCCTGAGTGCTTCCTCCCTGAGCCCACTGAGTGCCCCTGAGCCCACTGAGCCCCTGATCCCACTGAGTGCATCCTCCCTGAGCCCTCTGAGCCCCTGAGCCCACTGAGCCCCTGAGCTCTCTGAGTGCATCCTCCCTGAGCCCACTCCCTGAGTGCATCCCTGAGCCCACTCTTCCCTTGCTTCCTGATTGCGTGTCTCCTGCTTTCCTAACCCTCCTGGGCGTTGTCCTTGGGCAAACGCTGCCCTTTTGGTCTTAAAGCCCTGATCGTTCAACGGCCTCACATGCATGTGAGAGTTGGGCGTTGAAGAAGCATTGTAGTGCTGGAGAAACATATCCAAAAGACCATGGACTGCTCAAAGGATCAACCGGTCTGTCTTGGAAGAAGTACGTCCAGAGTGATCCTTGGAGGCAAGGATGATGAGACTCTGTCTTACGTGTACGTTGGACATGTTGTCGGGAGAGACCATTCCTCGTAGAAGAACATCAGGCTTGGTAAAGTGGACGGGCAGCAAAAGAGAGGGAGGCCCTTAAGGAAATGGATTGACACTGTGGCCGCAGCAATGCGATCAAGCACAAGCACAATCGTGAGGGTGGCGCAGGACCGGGCAGTGTTT